CATTCTTTTCTTTTGCCTTGAATGTATTGTTATTCATTTTAATATATAGGATGTCGCTTACTCTGCAGCTGCGACCATTTTTTGTTCGTTTTATATATTTTGTTCATTTGGTTATTGAATTTAATGAATTTCAGTCTGACTATCATGTTTTTTTCTCGTCGATGGTTATGATATTCTGTGTGATACTCCTCTTATCTTGTTCGTATTTTTTGTCTTTCGGATATATTACTAGTATTTTATCAGTAGGTTGATTTGTTTTGCCGCATTTTAATAACTTTAATGTATAACGTGATTTTCTCATCGATCTTACGAAGTTGATTGATTGAATGGGCGGTATTGAAATGCCAAAGATAAATATAAGTTGCAAAAGAAAATCTTAGAAATCTAAGGCAGAAGTAAAATGAAATTTACTATCATAAATAAAATCGAGGTTAGATTTTTCAAAAACTTTCCAATTTCATTATAATGTTCCTATCGTACTCCATTGAATTGAATATAAGTCAGAGGAAACAATAATGAGCTACTAATAGTATAACGTAGTGGTAAAAACCGAATAATAATATGAGTAGAAAAAAGACTATCAACGATTAGTCCTCATTCACTTAATGTCTATGTCTTCATGGTGTTTTTGCTAAATCTTGAACAGCTAACCACGTTGGAAGTCATAAAAACAATAAGAAATACCAATCTAAGCTTAAGTTTAATAGCTTATCAAAGTTTAAGAGGCATAAATCAAATACAAGTGAATAGAAATAAGTGAAAATGAAACGTAATTTAGACTCCTAAATATTAAACACACAATAGCTAATGAGATTATTAAGTATTAGGTGGGTAGAAGACATCTATTAGGTTGTTTATATTCGATTTCAACTCATTTCAAAATAAGATATTTCGATCCTATTAAACACTACAAGATGTAGTTTAAAGTATTCATGTCGATATAGACTTACTTACTTACTTTACTTACGCCTGCTACTCCCAGTGGAGCATAGATCGCAGACCAGCATTCTCCAACTCACTCTGTCCTGGACTTTCCTTTCCAGTTCTATCCAACTTTTGTTTATTCATTTTATGTCTGTCTCCATTTCTCCACTTAATGTGTTCTTTGGTCTTCCTTTTCTTCTTTGGTCTTGTGGATTCCATGTGAGAGCATACCTTGTGACGCAGTTGAGTGCTTTCCTTAATGTGTGTCCTATCCACTTCCAGTGCTTCTTCCTGATTTCTTCCTCCACTTAGATCTGGTTTGTTCTCTCCTGCAATAGGTTGTTACTGATAGTGTCTGGCCAACGGATCCGAAGTATTTTGCGTAGGCAACTGTTAATATAGAGACTTATAGAAAAATGGAGATACATAATTAGTATCATAGTGTTCGGGTTTACATACCAAGATCTTAGTTTTATATTTATCATAAGTTCGAAAACTCTGTACTTACTAAAACGTAATTAACATTCATTAAGTTAGTATCTTATTGCTTAAAGGGTATAATTCTTTTTATTTTTTATTTGGTATAAAATATTCTTAAAACTTTTCATTATAGAATCAAATCTTAGTGTGTTGTCATTATTGAGTATTTGTCGAAAAGGCTTGTGATATTTTTTTTATTTATTAAGGAGAGTTAGCTGTCCACACTCTTGTATTAGTGTCGGGAAGGAGAACACAGGTGAGGACGACCGAATTATATTTGGCACAAAATTACAGAGTTACTTGGTTAAATAGAAAAACCATATAGTAAATTGTTAATTTGCAAAATGTTCAATAATTATCTCGAACTTCGTTGTTATTGCATTTCCATCCTAATTGTTTTCTATTCCAGCTCTTCCTTCTTGATCTTCCCCATCTCCTGCTACCAGATATTACATTCCTGACTCGTGTCATGTACTACTTACATCAATACAAGTAGCACGCGCCACATTAGTACTATCTAGGTTTACAATAAGAAAGAATACTTGTCTGACTCTAAAACGAAAATGCATATGTATTGTTTCTGATATAACGAGTTGAGAAGGGAAAAGCACATTCACAACTCTGCGATTTTTGTTTAACATTACTCCCACTTTTTTATAGTTTTTTTATGCAATACGCGGTTTACTCAGATTAATATTTTTTTTGTTTTTCAGTGTGATATTCGATATAACTGTTATATCCCGACGAGAAAAATGAATGGTAACTGTTGGGACCCATCCATGGACTAATACAATACATATATTTTATCGTATAGTTGCTAAGTAACTAAACTATTGATATTCGTGTTCCTCTTATCATAAGCTTTATTTTGACGTATCGGATATTATTATACGACTTACCATTCCTGAGTTATGCCTGGTTTATCAGTTACTACCTCCCACATTCACAGCCACTTTTGGATAAACCCTTTACAAATGTTGTTTCTTATTTTATGGTAAGATGTGGTCTGTTTGTTTGGTATGTTTGAAATAATTTATTCATATCGCAGAGGCTGAGATTTGTGTTCTGCAGTCAACTGTCTGGGCTAGGCAGTAAGCAGGACTGGGAAAGACTCTAGACTGCTCGTACGGGTTTTATGTGTCATTGGTCAGGTCAGTAAATCACTGTTCTCTAATTGGTGATATCATTACGTCATAGATTTATAGGACACGGGGCACAAGTTATAACAATAACATTAATTTATATGAGTATGGTGTTTGTTCAAGATACAATATTGTTTGTATTAAATTAATATGAACTTGGTTCAAGACGATAGAGAGTATGTGGTTTTGCTATAATCCTGGGTACGTTTTTTTTAAGAAAATGTGTTTTTATTCTAATTAATAATCAAAATGAATATACAATCAATATATAAATGAGTTTGTTTTGGACTAGGGTCATCGTTATCGTGTTTTGAAGTTAATAAATCTTCATTTTTACAAATCTTGATGTTCTTACTTCGTGTCGTGGGAATTACAATGGTTCTTAGTTCTTTGAAGTATAAGAATAAGAGACGAGGATACAACAGATTCATAAGAGCGAAATCAATGAATTCGCTATCATATAAATGTGTGTCAAAATATATTTCTTTTAATAAACCTTAAACCCTAATTTTTTTTATCCATCGTTGACTATTCACATTACCTTTAAATCAAATTCGATTTCCTGGTTATAATATTGTTACCTAGTTGACAAAATGTGGCTTGATAGTAACATTCTGTCCCTTTATCATGCAAAATCGAGATCACAATACGACTTGGTCATAGGTTAATAGGATAAAATAATTTTGTGAATGATCCTTACTTAGTTAAAATCTTTTGATGAGCTTGATTCTATGACCTGTATATAGTGAAATTTACATTAACATCCACTGTTGTTTGATAAGAAATTGCTATTCAAAATGATTATGTGGATTTGTTAATAATTTTAGTAATTTCAATAGCTGAAATCATGAATCAATTGAAGTTAGACCATCATGGAAAAGCTGGAAGCGCCGGATGGCCGTCTCATCCTAGTGCGGGACTCCTCAGCAGTACGCATCCACGATCCTGCCCCCCTCGAGTATCGAACCCAGGACCTATAAGTCCCGCGCATGAGCACTTAACCATTAGAACACTGAGCCGGTCGGTAACAAACGGTATTAATGTCTAACTTCAACCAATCCACGAAATTGCGCCACCGTACACCATTGTCTTCAGTGAGCTGATATCTAACAATAAACCTGGTTGAACTCCACTGGTCACAGCTTCTCACTAGAACTCTAGGAAATGCCTCTTGAAGTCAGTCACTAGTGGGATGATTATTATCAGAAGGGACTTTGGGGAGATTTTAGTAATTTCAATGGTGGGTTACGCGCTCGCGCGCGAGACTGATGGGTTCTGGGTTCGAATCCCGCGAGGCGGGGTCGTGGATGCTCACTGCTGAGGAGTCCCACAATAGGACGAAACGGCCGTCCAGTGTTTCCAGGTTTTCCATGGTGGTCTAGCTTCAATTGACTCATGATCTCAACTGTTGAAATCACTTTTCTCGAAAAGTTCATAAAATATATTTTGATAATTTGAAGATTAATTATGACTTAGTAATCAATCAATAAAACTTTATTGAATTGATTATGTAATGCCAAAAAATTTAGTTCTGAGATATATTCAAGTTAAAAAAGTATTTCGATAATATTGAGATTTATTATTGTAAGATTAGGAAAAGAAACAAAAGTTTCAATCTTAATCAACTCTCATATTTAATCAAAGTAATGTATAAGAGACATACATTAAGATATAAGACATACATTATGGAAATCATCAAGCTGCATCACGAGGCAAGCCCTAACCTGGAATCCTGAAGGGAAGTGGAAAAAGGGAAGGCCAAAAAAAAAACATATTACGTCGGGAAATGGGAGCAGACATGAAAAGGAGGAATAGAAACTGGAAAGGACTGTCCAGGACTGGGTTAGATGGAGAATGTTGATGGGCAACTTATGTTCCTCCACGAGAAGTAACAAGTGTAAGTGAGTAAGTAATGTATAAAAGTATAGATCTTGAGATGGTGGAGATTTGTAGCTCAGAGAACAAAATTCCATCATAAGAGTATAGATTCCTAAAATCTAGAGGCACTTTCATAGATTTTATCATTGCAAATTGTCACCTATTTTCATTGACAAGAAACTCTGGTCATTACTAAATATTTTTATTCAGAATTAAATTCGTGAAATGATTGTAACATATAAAGATTGAGAAACTTCACTGTTATACTTGAATTTATTCATTTGTTTTATGAATCGAATTACGCTCATGATATAATAACAGAAATCCATAGCTTGCTGGGATGGTACTGTATAATTGAATCAATGGTAGGAGTTACACAATAATCTGGAGATGAGATAGTATATTCTAATAGGCTTAATGATATGTGTGGATGATTCAGATTTGGAAAAACCATTTATGCCACGTCATAGATGTAATTTCAGATTATTTTTAGTTTTATATACTTAGCTACTGAAAAATTATTAAAGTAACCTAATCAAAAACGAAAAAAACAACGTCTGAAGTATTTTTTTTTTACAAATAGTTGAATAATGACATGAAACAATTTCTGTACATAATGACTTCAATTCAATCTGATTACTAAGAATTCAAAACAGGCAAACGTACAATACATAATGGAATACAGAGAGAAAGGAAACTCACTCCAACATGAGTGAATTTAAAGGATTTACACTTTCAAGACAATATCAATTTGGATAGTTTCAATTCTCAAAAAAAAAGAAAAAAAACTTTAGAAAATGTGAAGGGTCTTTACTTCAACAACTGGATAAAATTGTCTACAGGTTGTTAATTAACATTCACGATATTTTATTAAAAGGTCAATTACCAGATGATGATTAGGATACAAAATAATTCACAACTGTTCTGTTCTAGAAAGAAACTTACCTGAGTAGGTATGTATTTAAGATTATGTACAAAATTAACCAAGAGTTTTATTAATGAATATAAAGAACTAATAGGTAAAATGCAATAGAAACTAAAAAGACTTGTAATTGTTCATTTATTATGAACAAATAAATGTATGGCTAAATATGATAATAATCCTTGATTTTGAAATACAAAGAATTGATCTCGGATATCTTCACGAAAAAAAACCCAACTTGTTTGAAATCGATTTTCTATTCATGCTAACTTCGACTGAATGTTATGAGTTTAGGTAATACAATTGATTTCTTGGGTTGTCTCAGTAATGTATCGGGACTTGAAGGTTTTCGAATACACGGTGCAGTTGTTGAACGAACTAAATAAGTAGGGAATGGATAAGTCACAATGTTCTTGTTTTCAGACTCATTATTATTACTATTATTATTACTATCATTATGATCAATAGGATAATGTTTTGGATCTGTAGAGTTAAAATGGAATTGAGGAGTTGATAAGGATAAATCATATTCTGCTTCCGAAGAATCACTTGAATCTTCACTTTCACTTGGTACTTCTAAACCGGATACTAATCGAACACGTGTATAATAACTTAAACTAATTGCAGGATAGAATAAATTTGATTTTTTTGTATTATCTCCACCTTGATTTGATTTATCACCTTGTTTTATATTTAAATTTGTAAAAGCTATAGGACCATGAGGTTCACCATTTAAATAAAAAGCTAGATGACCTCGTTCACAATCAAATCGTACACCAATTGTAGTTGTAATTGAAGATGTATTCTGTGTAATACTTTTATCATTTATTTCTTGTTGTGTTATTTTAATACCACCATCTGTACGATCTCTATGCTCACCTCGATGAAGAAACCATGAACGTTTAGAATTCAAATACATTGCCCAACCAAATTCATCTTGACCTGTTAGAAAGAAAAAAAAATGTATAATACCAAATAAGATATCAACTGTTCTCAATTTTATACCAGCTTTTTTTTCTTATTATATGAATTGAATATAATGACTACTATTGAAATTTCAATGAAAACAATGTTCTTATTCAGTCTAAAGTAACTCAATCTTGATTGAAATTCTAGATTCAGGTTACCTACATATAAACAAGATTTATTTCATTTAAATGACATGAATTCTGTTTGTTTGTTTTACATTCGATACAAAACAGAATAAAAAAGGAGGGAAAACATAGACATTCTTATATTTCCAGTATTCATTCTAATTTTAAGACATCTTCATAAATAACAATCAAATAACCCGGAATGAACTCATTGTGAATATGAAACTTATGGTAGATTTCACATATTGTGTGATTAGAGTATAAGAGAATTGTAGTGAAAACATAAGGCAAATATAATTAATTGATCAAAATAGAAGTCTTACTGTATTGAATGAGAACACAAGTGGGGATGATCGAATGTATTCGAACGCAAAATTACAGAACATCTAAGTTTAGCCCTCAAATGCCCTTGTAGGACCGAGAGTGCGGAGAGTCAACTCTTTTCTTCCTCGAAATACTCTCACATGGCCTCGTGCATACAACCACTGCCAGAGAAGTTCTACTCACTGCCTTCTTGCGGCATTACTGTTGTTTACGAAATTGAGAAGACGAAAAACGAATGTCCGGCGATTTAACCGGGTTGATGGATACGGAGGATTCATCTACGTGAGTTGGAAAACCCTCATTCCAAACCAATGGTGCACATGGGCTCCAGGATCCTGAGGGAACAAATGGCGTATGAACCAATGGTTGGTCACCGTCTACCATGGGACTGCATCTCCTTACGTTGCTCCACTGCCTTGTGGATCAGACCTTTAGATCAAAGGCTTGGGGCTTGGCCATCTAAGAAAACCACCTGCTTCGGTTTGGGCACCCGGGCAGTACTCCAGCTCTCACACAAGTCGAATGATTTATGTGGTGCATATCTATATGGTGCCTTCTTGTACCTATATTTATGTTTAAATAATAAAAATTAAAATCTGAGAATCATACAGTAAATATATATCATTACCAAGGTTTGATTTGATAATTTCGAATAAATTGAGCATTGGGTAGATTGTTATAAATAAATAAGATATTTGTAATATCCCGATGAGTAGAAAATTAGATTTTCTGACGTTCTGTGACTTAGTGTAAGTCACTTCTTCAGAAAATAAATAAGCTAATTGTTCAGCTGTACTATTTAAACTTGGATTATTTTAATTTGGTTATTTATTCTATGAAGAAAAGACTTCAATAAGTCGCGAAACGTCAGAAAATCTAATTTTCTACTCATTGGGATATTACAAATATATTATTTATTCATACAGTAAATAGTTCATTTGTAAAATGTCAGTCAGTCGTCTCAGACTTCATTGTTCTTTCGTTTCTACACCAATCAATCTTTATTCTTAATCTTTGATCTTCTAAACCTTCTGCCTTTAGGCATTTCACTGTGAATTGATGATACATACTACTTATATCTGTAGATATCAATAGCACACACCACAATACTACCCAGTAATTTCACTCGGTATTGTTTTACTTCAATCTTCTCATTGATGTTTTAGGACTGAAATTGATCAGTCTCTTATTTGCATATGTGCATCCTGTGCGCACTGCCTCGATATTTCCTTAATTCACAAGCATTCTGAACAAAGATGGATAGTGACTAGTAGTGGAATCCAGGACACGCGTTTCTTACTATTTTAGACTCGTCAAATCGATGTGCCTGCATCTCCGAGTTGATGTTCACTCTGGACTCCGGGATTCAAACCCAGTACCGATCGCTTCAAGCACCATCGCATTAATTATCCACTTAGCTACGTACAGTATGCATATATGCCAATAACAGACTGATGATCAATTGCAGTGGTAAACATCAATGGGAAGATTCAAGTGAACAATACCAAGTGAATCTAAACTTCACCCCATTGCACAAGCAAGTGGCTATCAAGAATCAGGAATCAGGAATCAGGAATCAGTAGCTAAGTGGATAACGCGATGGTGTTTGAAGCAAACAGTACTGGGTCGGAGTCTCAGAGTGAGCATGAACTCTGAGATGCAGGTATATCCACCTGACGAGTTCCATATAGGACGAAATGAGCATCCTGGATTCCACTGCTAGCCACTATCCATATTTTATCGTTAATATTATTACCACTAGAGTAAATCCCTATATCCATAGTACAGTCCATTACCATAGTCGAATATATGTTTATCATTGTGATTTATAATGTCACAGATTCTAGTAACTTCAAACATAATTCATTGTTTAAAACTCCACACTGTGAAACTTAAAATAATTAGTCATATTTATATGAAAACAAAGAAAATTCAAGTGAGTAAGAATAACTCTATATTGTTTTGATTTTTGAACTTTGAATCATATCATCTGTGCTTCACAGCATAAGAAAGTGGAGCAACATTAGGAGATGCAGTTCCATGGTAGCTGGTGACCAACCATTGGTTCATACGCCATTTGTTCCCTCAGGATCCTGGAGCCCATGTGTACCATTGGTTTGGAATCCGGTTAGAGCACCGGACATTCGCTTTTCGTCCTCTCTATTTCGTAAACAAAACCCCCGCCACGAGAAGGCAGTGAGTAGGACTTCTCTGGCAGAGGCTATATACGCGTGGCCATGTGAGAGCATTCCGAGAGAGAGAGCGGTCTCTCTCCACTCTCGACCGTACCAGGGCATTTGTGGAGCACTATACATATATTCACTATTATATTCAATTAGACTTAGAATAAGAATTATGTCTGATTATTTTATTTACTTGTATAGCTCTCTTGATAAGATAAAAAACTTAAATAAAAACTGACAACTTTGATAAACTTCTTTTCACTGTTATTCTCTTCTTTTTTTTCTCTTTTCTCTTTATTCACTTAAATTGAAAGTTATTCAATTAGGAAAAATTTTCATTATCCCTTGAGATTAAAATTTTGCCTTAAGCAAATCACTAGTTCTTTTCTTCTTCTTCCAAATAACCAAATTATAATTATGATTTTAACATTAAGGTGAATAGAATAGAATAAAACAAACTATACGGTAATATAATAAAAATAAATAAATAAGGTCATATCTAACTGTTAAAATTTCAATATTATAGAAAGGTTAACCAATCAGGTTTAAAGGGGAAATATTATTTGGAATAATGATTAAACTATTTAAGAGTTGTATGGAATTGAAAATAAGTTTTTTTCGGTGGTGGTGGGGAAAATCGAATACCTGAAATTGATCAGTCTCTTATTGGCTTATGTGCATACAGTGCCTATTGCCTCGATACTAAATACTTTAGTTTTGATAATGTTACAGATGAATCTATATGATATATGTAGTGTAATAATTGTTTGTAAATGTATTCAAATTAGTGAAAATACATCATTTTGATCAGATGAAACTAGTTAAATTGTCTGTGTTTTGATTGAGATTATGAACCGATTGATGTTAGACGACCATTGAAAATTTGGAAGCACTGGATGGTAATTTCTAGTGAGAAGCCGTGACTAGTGGAGCTAATCCGTGTCGGGTAGAGATAGGTATTTACCTCAGTACAATAGAACATAGCCGTGCAATTTCGTGGATTGGTTGAGGTTAACCATTAACAAAAACATTTGAATACCGACTCAGTGGTTTAGGAGTTAAGCGTTCGAGCGTGAGACAGAAGGTCCTGGGTTCGAATCTCGTGGGCGGGATCGCGCTGAGGAGTCTCACAATAGGACGGAACGGCCGTCCAGTGCTTCCAGATTTTCAATGGCGATCTAACATCAATCGGTTCATGATGTCAGTCAAAAATTTAGTAATCTCCACAACCCCATATTGATAACTTGTATTGTAGAAGTTCTGAATTGTTACTAGTATTATAACAGTTGCCTGAAACTTGTATGAAAGGCTTTTTTTATTTATAATGATTTGTGCTGACAATGGTTTATGTAACAGTCGAAAACGAATATAGGACGACAAATAAAACAGGTATAAAGTGATAATAAGTTATAGTTTAATTAAAAAAATCTTTCGTCATTGTTCTAGACAATATCTTCAGGGCTTATTCAACGTATGAGTATGAAGAGATAAAGGTGGAATGCATTTACGCTAATATCAATGATATTCAGCTAAACTACACAGGATCTTCAATCATTAATTTCTAATGTTTATAGATTCCCATTCGAAAACATACATATACACGTCATGGATCGACATTACATCTGAATCTGATAAATTTCGACACTTGCAACTTACTCTGGTAAGAATTTTATGTTTAACTATGTTATGATCCAGTATAGTTTAATCATACTAATCTGTGTAAATTTATGACCTTATTATTACGTGTTGAACAGATCAACAAGACAAATCACAAACATAAACCATTAATATAAACACACCATTGTTATACACTAACTTTATAAGTAATAATTATAACGTGCTTTTAAACTTCAAGTAACATTACTTATTTCTTTCATTGTCACGTTTTGAATTAGACTTGAAAGTCAGTAGTTCATGTATACGAACATCTTGTTGACATGTTATCAACCGTAAATTGTATTAAACACTTAAAACGAACTTTTAAGTGTTTAGCTTAAATGACTTTATATGATAAGAAATATGAGATTAGAATCTAATTACTTGGTTATAGGTTTTTATGATATCTACTAATTAATAGAAATGAGAGTGAGGAAAAAAGGGATGGTAATTGCTATTCCGTATTTATTGTGATAAATGAGTCATTAGATAAGGTCATTCAAGTTTGTTTTTAATAGTTAGACTAACTAAGATAGCTAGTGATAGTTTCAACTATCGATTACTCTGCCGATAAACAGATTTGAGTTTGATTGATTGAAATGCTGGACAATTATTTCACTTATTTTAGATCAACCTCAGAAAGAACTGAGCTGTTTAGATCACTTGGATCAAACCGGATCTCCTGAATGAACCGACATATCATTAATGGCATAATTATAGTCCAAACTATTTACACATCGTACGATCCCTATCAATTTTTTAAACAGTTACACTTTTTAAACAAGCAAATATAATTCCAATTTTTTTTATTGAAAACCAACTATGTAGGGTCAAAAGTTGTGATCATGGGTAATGAAGACCGTTAGGCCCTCATATAGTAACTGAATCAGTCAGTAACAACGTAGATAGTAACTGAATAATAATCCTCATCTAATAGGAGATGACAGTGTTAAGTTCGATCGTTTTTGTGTAACGTGGAAAAGTCAGACTGCTCAAGGCTTTCAATCTACAATGAAGTGTCGGTGAACTGTCTACTATCAAATTTTCAATAGAGCTCAAGTTGACGTTACTTTCTGATGAAACATATTTTCAAAATAGACTATTCAGTTTCCAAATGATTTATCCAACTTATCACGTAAAATTAAAATATGATATGAATTAAACTGACAAGTCAAAGAGGACTATTAGAAGGTGGAAAAAAAGAGGAATCAAATCAATCCGTATCAAATTCTTTTTATCCCAAAAACAATAGTCATTCAGTAATTTAGGGAAAGAAATGACAGTCAACTTGGCATACAATTACATTTTGAGACTGAAAGACATTATTTCTTCGAGTTAATGGAAGACTTAAATTATTTGGATATAAGTGCTCATACAGCACTGATAAACTTAACCTCAGAATCAGACATTCCAAAACTAAATACTTGGTGATGAATAATTTAGCTAAACATGAATAAAGATGACATATTTCACTATTTAACAACTAATTTAGAGTTGTATTTCTTAAAAAATATCAGTATTGTTTTACATCTGATGGTATATTTTTACCAAATATGCTACCTAGAAGTGTGGTCATTTCACCGTAAATTACTAGTCCTTTGAACCTAAATCGGTGAGACTATAATTTATGGACGACCTTTGAGTGACGCCAAAGTGATCTTGAGAGTGTCTACCTACTTAATAGGGCTAAATGAAGGTTATAAAACAGTTTGAAGAATAAAGACAATGATTTACGATTGATGGTAAGGGTTAAGATTTAGATTTATGGTTTTCATAACGAGCTGATATCAGCTAAAATGCAAAGACGCTATTTGGGCTTATGGGTGAGTGGATTTCGCGTCAAAATCCAAGACCTGTTATCCTTAATCTGATTGGTTCGTCCATAAGTTATAGTCTCGCCCTTAAATCTTTCAGCATCTACCTTAGTGGCTTGGGTTATACTGGCATTTATGTTTATAAATGGCTATGGAATTCATTCTATAATTATTACATTGGGTTAATTGCGATTATATATTTTCTAAAGCTAAACATGTTATCGTATGTGTGGTCCTTTAGTTCTAACCTACAGAAATTCAGTATATATTGACATTGGTAAAATGGAACACGAAACGATTCTTAAACAGAATGTTATATTTTTTCAATGATAGTTTATTTTGTATTTCTCACCTCTTACCTATAGTTTATAAATACAAAATGATATTATGTTTTGCAATATTTTACAGTTCCTTAATTGCCCCATTTCTTAGTCCATCATGTCTACCAATATCTATGGGCTAATTTGTACAAATAACTCTTAGTTTAGTTTGAATAGTGTAAGGAATCAACAGAACACCATGGGACTAGATCTTGCTTTGCTAGACACTAATTTTATCATCTTGAACGCATTTTAATATTTCTTAAAACAAAAAACAGAGTGTATTACAATAACCATTCACTCAATTTCATTGCCATATTTTACATCATGATTATTGAATTCTGAAGAAACCAAATTTGTTTAAATTATGAACGTAATTGATTAATTTAGTAAAGAAAGATCTTTATTACAGAGACTATTAACAAGTTTTGTTCATCAAGTAACTATTTTATGGTTGTAAGCAAAGACGGATGGTGGCTAGCAGTGGAATCTAGGATGCGCGCCTCGTCCTATTTCGAACTCGTCAGGTGGATATACCTGCATCTCAGAGTTCATGCTCACTCTGAGACTCCGACCCAGTACTGTTTGCTTCAGACACCATCGCGTTATCCACTTAGCTACCGATTCCTGATTCCTGATTCCTGATTCTTGATAGCCACTTGCTTGTGCAATGGGGTGAAGTTTAGATTCACTTGGTATTGTTCACTTGAATCTTCCCATTGATGTTTACCACTGCAATTGATCAGTCTCTTATTGGCATATATGCATACTGTACGTAGCTAGGTGGATAATTAATGCGATGGTGTTTGAAGCGATCGGTACTGGGTTTGAATCCCAGAGTCCAGAGTGAACATCAACTCGGAGATGCAAGCACATCGATTTGACGAGTCTAAAATAGTAAGAAACGCGTGTCCCGGATTCCACTACTAGTCACTATTCATCTTTGTTCAGAATGCTTGTGAGTTAGGGTAATATCGAGGCAATGCGCACAGGATGCACATATGCCAATAAGAGACTGGTCAATTTCAGTCCTAAAACATCAATGAGAAGATTCAAGTAGACAATACCATGTGAATTTATTATACGGTTGGTTTGATGTTTATTTATATTGAAAATAATGATTCAAAATCTTTGATAAATTGCTTCCCGATTACACAATATTCTATATTCAAATCATGTAATAAGACGAACTTTGTGTATTAATGAAGTTTCATCAAAGTAGCTATGGTTATCATGTAACTAACAATAATTTAAAAACGTCGTTCTTGTCGAGTATCATTAGTTGGATAATCCATAGTCAGAAAAGCTTGTCTTCTCGGTATTCTGCATAGGTAAACTTGTGAACAAAGATAACGTTTCCAAGATAAAGACTGAATAGTTTGACCTAAAGCTACCAGGTTTTCAATTATTTTCTTATAAGATTGATAGTGATAAATATATTTTTGTGATAGTCGAATGAGTAAAAATTTGTTTTTCTGACATTTTGTGGCTTAATTTAAGTCGTTTCTTCAGAATAAGTTTTAACCTCACTACTTCACATTACAAATTGTACATTTTTCATACCTTAACATCATGCGCACAAATAAATCCAGTGATCTGTCATACAGAATCACCTTGACCAAAAATAACATGACATTGACATGTTCAGACCTATTATAATTTTGATTGTTCTAAAAATGTTCTGCATTGTTTCCTTTGTCCTATTTAAACTTGCGTTAATTTAGTTTCGATCATTTGTTTACTCTGAAGAAGTGGCTTACATTAGGTCACGAAACGTCAGAAATACAAATTTCTACTCATTGAGAGATTTAAAAAATACATTTATCACCAAGTTTCTACCCAATACTTAATTCACTTGAAAATATTAAGTCCAACCTTGGTATTTATACTTATAAGATTTGTGTTTTGGAGGTGAAAGGAAAACTTTGAGAAATAGTTTTCTAGTTATCTTTCCTGTTTAAAATAGTGCCATAATCCAAGCTTCTTTCCAAACCCAAATACAATCTCAAAAGTTATCAAGCAAACCAAAATCTTATTAGGTAACCTAATTCATAAACAATAATTACGAGGGATCTCATAAACGTACTTATTTGATCATACCAATAATCACTTACCAAGCATTTTATCTTTGCTCACTTGAGCCAGTGCTATTCCGAATGAAGGCTGTCCTTTACCATCATACTGTTCAACATTCCATTCCCAATAATGAATACCTTCTGAGAAGCAAACATCACCCAAGAGAACACGATCTTCCAAATCTCCTTGAGCACTGATTGTACATCCATCAGATGATAGTTTTAAACCACTAATAGGTGGAGCAGGTCCAGATAAAGGATTCATAACAAATGATGCAACTGTATAGATAAAAATAAAGGTTAAAAAAAATCTAGGTACTAGTCATAAACGATGAAATAAATTAAAAGCATAACATTTAAAGTTTGGTCGCTAGAGTACATATGTACACAAAGCTATTGAACAAGCGATAGTGAAGATGGAAAGTTATATAATGTAGTTTTTAAGATACAGTATGAATCTAGTATATAAAAATATTTAGGAACTTATGGATTTCTGATTAGTGATTTTTAGATTCCGAAAGTATTGGCTTTTCATTATTCTAAAGTCACATTATGAATTGACAGAGTAAATGGAAGTAAAGAATTTATGCATTCACAATACATGCACATATGCTAGAGATGCGAAATGCAATAACTTTGACGTAAAATATAATTAGAAGTTTATACCACACCTCTGATTTGTGTGTAAATAAATTGTAGCCAGCACTTGCTTTCAACTTGTATACGAGAACATGTCCCAATGTGGTTTCACCACAAGTGTGAGAGGAAAGCAGTTAGAAGTTCCATTTTTGAACATCTAATCGACTTTAATCACTTCACTGATCCACGGGTTGATTTTAAGGTTGTTTACACAATCCCTTCTTCTTCTGTTTCTTCGTACCCAACTCCTTAAAACAATAGAAGTTCTCATCATCCATGATATGAAACCAGAACAGAGTACAAAAGAAGTACGCCTTATCGATATCATTATGATGTCCTTAAACTATATTAGTATTATTATATTTTGTATTTGAAATACCCCTCTCTCTTTAATTATGTTTCATATCCTCATGATTATACTTATAATTGTTTCTGATATCACTTCATTTCATTTAACTTCTCTATTACCTTTCATTATTGTAACAAAAACATTTTAATAATGTTACTTCATTCACACTATAATCCGTTGCTAACTAATTAATTTTACAAAGCTTTCTATTTGTACATACACAATCTTTTATTGTTATTATTCACATTATGTAATCTTTCTGTTACATCATATTTATTCCTTGTTCATATGTCCTGATGGAACTAATACTTTAACAAAATTTTCATATATTGATACTGTTGTACATCTTGATAATAAATTCGTTGAAAAAAGAGATCCCTTCGTTGAGTTTTTAATGTCTTAATAATAAATCCAGTATAGTTACACTTCCGAATTTGAAACTTACATTAACACTTTTGAATATATGTTACGATATTAGCTCAATAAATAAGTGACATAGTCATTTCAATGGACAGAACTGATATAAATGAACTAGTAGAGGATGAGATATTTTGTCAACATACGAAGCACTTTAAATAACTTGTGTTATGTATACAAAGAAGAGACTACTATGTAAAATTTCTGGGATTAAACTAATTATTAGAAAGGTCTAATGGGCTCTATATAGTTTATTGTATGAAGAAGGAAACAAAAACTGCTAGACGTCAAGATATGAAGACAATGAAATATCATAATTAGTGAGGTGCTTTTGTACTTTGATTACTCCTCAAATTCGTTATGAGAATTTTCAAAGCCAACCAATGATTGACACCTTGAGTACAGCCTCAGAAGAAAATGAAGCTAGGATAAACTTCATGAACATATAATGGAGTGAATGAATAACTAAAAAAGATTAGTCGATTATTTTCTTCCTACTGATTGGTAGCAGAAATAGAGATTAGTTTAAAAATCAACCAGATAAAAACTCAATAAATAGAGGAAACGTTGAAATCAGGTATCATCTATTAAAACAAATAGAAAGAAAGCTAAAGCGATCATTTATAGTTGCTCCTAAAATTATTAATGAACGATCTGCTAGTTCCATTTTTATATGAAAAAGAACTGAAGGTAACTAAAGTAAAACGAGCTACACGTATAAGTTTTAAAGAGGTTGGCGAGCATTAAAACAACCAGAATATTCACAACTTGAAATGCAAATATTTACAAACAGATCAAAACTTCTTAGTTTCAAAGCCATTCCGAATTTTAATAGTTGAATTCATAAGTCGATCTAAGCTAGACCATTATTGAAAACATGGAAACATTGTACGGCCGTTCCGTACTAATGTGGGACTCAACAGTGTGCATCCACGATCCCGTGTGTGGGATCCGAACTCAGGACCTTCGATCTCGCTCACGAACACAACCTCTGGACCACTGAGCTGACATCCGACGGTGTTAATGTTTAACTTCAATCGTTCCATGATCTTGCGCAACCCTTCACTCATTGTCTGAGGTAGAAACTTGTCTCTATCCGACACGGATTGGACCCCACTGGTTATGGCTTCCCAATAGAACTACTACAATCTCTGCAAACCCTCATTCTGATGATCTTCATTTCGAATTTCGTAAAATAAACAGTCGAAATGTACGCATGAGAATATCTTTGAACCATTGCCGAAAGGGCGTTTCTGAAAGGTGTAGATGGGTTCAATTTGCAATTTAACAAACTTCTATTACTTAGATTCTATAAAATTTCTTCTAAAAGTATATAGGATGCATTTTTACTTACGACGAGCTGTTTTTATTGCAACAATATCACTATAAGCACTTTGAGCAATTCCATTTGTAGATCGAATACGAAAGCGATAAGTTGTATTTAAATGTAAACCTTCCACTCGACAAACGCATTCAGGTCCTGTGTAGACAACCTGTAAAGAAAAAATAAACAAGTATTTATAAACAGTTGTCTACGCAAGATACTCAATATCTTTTGGCCGGATACCATCAGCAACAGCGTACTGTGGGGGAGACCAAGTCAATTTCCAGCTGAAGAGGAAATTAGGAAGAGGTGATGAAAGTGGATAGAACACACATTAGGGAAATTATCAAACTGCATCACGAAGCAAGCACTAACTTGAAATTCTGAAGGGAAAAGGAAAAGAGGAAGGCCGAAGAACACACTACGTCGGGAATTGGAAGCAGACATGAAAAGGATGAATAACAACTGGGAAGAACTGAAAATAATTTCCTAGGACAGGGCTGGATGGAGAATGCTGGCAGGCGGCCTATGCTCCTCCAGAGGGAGCATCAGGCGCAAGTAAGTAAATAAGTATATTCAACAATAAAAGAACAAACAGTATTTCATTTTGTAATGAGGAAAAGCTATAAAAGGATAGTGTTTTAATCTTTATTAATATAAAAACAATAATTCAACTTACTGAATAAAGTTAAATAAGCTCTTGAAACTGCTTGTCGAGAGTAGTGGTTGCAAGTTTCGCAAATGTTATATATGAATTGCTTTCTACAAGCCGTCAAGTTACACTTATAATCAGTAATCTATTCATTGAATAAGTGATTTCTAAATTATGCCTCCATTTTATTGATCAGTTCTGCAGAGAAAATACTTTTCAAATGTAACTTAACCCACTTTTTTCTAAATCACTACATATTATTTAGTGGTAAATATTCAATCATATTGAAATATAATGACTCACTGATACATGTGGTTCGCATCCTCAATCAACTGGGCTTAATCACTGGATGAACGAGAGGCTGAAGGGGCTGGTACTATGTCAAGCCCACATTGGTTATTCTATCCTGGATAGACAGATCTAATTATTCTTCTCAAGCTACATTTTTACCCTGTCACTTATTTACTCATTAATCTTGACTGTTTTTATATGATTGTATGTGTGTTAATTACTTGCCCTATTCATCGTGCGTCCGTAACTTATTTTTATCTGACTACAAATACTGAGTCACGCTTGGTAAAAACGAGTTGGTTCACTAGCCATCACCGCTACGCGATACATTGTCTCGTTTCACTTCACTTTCTTCACTTCGTTTCGCTGGATGTCAGCCTGGATCAATGAGTGTATGAAATATACGTATTCAAAATTCACTCACGTATTTGACTTATTTAATTCTGTTATCCACTAACGCGGATTATGTTGATAATTATATACGAGGATAGCCGGCATATATATTTCGATGAAAATCAGCAAATAATCCAACTGGAGTCAGATGCCGGGACTACTGAAGGACACTAGTCAAACGAATTATTCATTTTAAAAATATCCTAAAACTTAACAATATAATTTATCTATGTATCAAAATATGTTTATGTGACATTTCCTAGTCATATAGCCTGCTCCTGTATCCTTATTATTTTTCATTCGGATAAATTACCATGTTAATGGATGACAGTAACTCCGTTGTTACTTCCTATTCGTTTTATTTCAGACAAGAAGATAATGTGTGTTCATCTCTTACTTTAGCTGTACATGCGACACAAAACTATTGATATCACCCACACGTACAAATCTGAAACCCTGTGTTTCAATTAGGTGAAACAAAAAAAAACAGAGAAGGGGGCAGTTACAAAAAACCAAATACCTTGATAAAAAGATCTCACATGTCACAAGTGAATGATTATGACAGTTGGTATTATTTAAGTATCAGGAGTGAATCATATATATAGTAGTAAAAGACTTAAAAATCTGTTTAGATAATCTTTCTGTATTTTGATGTCTTCCTTTTATATTTCCCCAAAGATAAAAAATGAACGTTAAAAAACAGTAATACATGAGTTAGCAGAAAAAAATAGGAAAATAGTGAGTATTTAGTCGATGGTTATCACCAAAATGTCTTACGCCTTATGAACAGTCCAAATTAACCAGAGATATAATGTAATGTAGTCACTTCATATGATGTTTACAAGCAAAAATATACTGTTATTGAGATCAAAGACTGACCTGATTAGTGTTTATTGGTTTTCAATGATTGTCTAACTTCAGTTGGTTCGTGATCTCAATAACAATCAGTAGTCTTCACATCCCTCCACACTAATGATAGACTGTATTTGATGTTAAGTGATTTGTGTTGACCATTAAAAATACTTAGATTTAGTTATTGTAGTTGATCCAGTTCATTAACAAATTATCTACAGTAACAAAAAAGCTTTGTCAGTTCAACGCTTCTCGGTCTCAGTACTTTTCCAGATGGCATTAATAGACAGTAAACTTTTCATTCAGTTTAAACAAAGTTTTATAAAACAATTAAATGGTACAAAAAGTTTCGTGGAGATTGTTCCATTTTGCAACTTCAATCACGGACTGACCTTATTTAAATAGCCGTTGGATAACTAAGAAACACTAAACAGTTGTTTCATCTTAGTCTGGGAAAATTAACTGTAGTTAGATATGTGAACTACTGATTACCGACTGAATGATCTATCTGTTAAGCAATCGTCTCGAAACGTGAAGGTTAAAGATTCAATCCCTATTGAGACGTGTATGCTCAATTCTGAGAGGTCTCATACTAGAATAAAACAGCTGTCTAGTATTTCCTTGTTTTTAGTATCTGTTTAATTAAGATCAGTGCGTGATGTAATTTATAATATCATTTAAATTGCATAGGTATAAACAATCACTAGTCATTTTAATCAGAGAGGGATTTTTTGGATATTATAGTAATTTTAATAGTTGAATTCATCAGTCAATTGAAGCTAGACCACCATGGAAAACCTGGAAGCATTGGTAGTCCTGGGTTCGAATCCTGCGAGGTGGGATCGGGGATGCTCAGTGCTGAGTAGTCCAATACTAGAATGAGATGGTCGTCCAGTTCTCCCAGGTTTTCCATGATGATCTAACTTCAATTGACTCATGAATTCAACTATTAAAATCACTAGTCATTTTGTTAAAATATGAAAATTATAATCCATATAGAGTAACAAGATTTACTTTTGAATTTAAATATCAATGTTAATGAATAATAATTTTACACATTTCCGCTATTTTGTGACTAGTTTTATAAATATGTAATTAGTAGTTAATAGAAGCCATTAACAGAAATCATTTAAGTCTTAACAATGTATTTAAATTGTATTAAACTAGTAATTTTAATCTTAGTTACCCAGGTCACTAAAAATTGACCTTTGTAAACACAATAAATAAACAGTGAATTCATTCACCATAAGTTGTGCATTTTTTTAAAAATAAAAAAAAGTAATTGTATGTATGTATTTATGTATATGGGGTGAATGTTTAACTAAACGGACAAGTATAAAAAACATATATTTTTTCAGTACATCATTAATTTTTATTGATCAGTTTTACATTTAAAACAGGAATAAAATGAGAATCCATAGGAGATCTGTAGGGGGATTAATAACAAACAACTGATTACAATTGATTGATCACTGGGTGGTGACTAATGTCATGTATGTCAAGTTCTTATTAGTGCAGATCGATTGCTATCAACCATGATACAATGTGGCCATCAGTCTAGGTGACTCGACACTGCATGCACTATTGTGAGATTAGATGGTGGTTGTCGACTACCTCCAACCACAATCTAATAACAAACAACTGAGTTATATTATATACATATTAATTTATACACTGCTGAGGAGTCCTACAATAGGACGAAATGGCCATCCAGTGCTTCCAGGTTTCCAAAGGTGGTCTAACATCAATCGGTTCATGATCTCAATCAAAAACCTAATAATCTCCACAACCCCTATACTAGTAATCAACATGTGCTCACTAGTGACTAGCTTGGTGAGGGAATTCTCAGAGTTCTAGTGAGAAGCCGTGATCAGTGGAGCTAATCCATGTCGGGTAGAGACAGGTATCTACCTCAGTACGATGGAAGTTGGTCGCGCAACTTTGTGGATTGGTTGATGTTAGACACTATCACCATTGGATGCCGGCTCAGTGATCCAGTAGGTTAGGCGTTCGCGCGCGAGACCGAAAGTTTGAATCCCGCGAGCGGGATCGTGGATGCGCACTGCTGAGGAGTCCCACAATAGGACAAAATGGCCGCCCAGTGCTTCCAGGTTTCCAAAGGTGGTCTAACATCAATCGGTTCATGATCTCAATCAAAAACTAATAATCTCCACAACCCCTATATACTACATTCAATTGCCTTAAATAAGTTAAGTATGCCTTCCAAGTTACCTCAAGGTTTAAATAGGTTTCATTAAATAAAATTAGATAACAAGTTTTTATCGTAACAGACCAAATCTTCACTTCTCAATAAGTGATTTCTATAAGTTCCATTAAAAACGTTTAACATCAATATAGCTTAAAAATTTTTATCGAAAATTTATGATTCAGGAGATCAAAGTGATTTATGAGTGAAATTACCTGAAATAAGTTATATTTATACAGAATTTATATTTTTCATCTTCTTATGTAAGTATTATAAATAGTTGAACAAAAGTTTCGATCCTCGTATTAATGTCATAATGATCGGTCAATTTTACAATAAACTCTTTCAATGCATATATTACAAAACAACATTTTAATGTTACTATTACGTCATTATTATTATTATTACTACTATTAGCTTTACTCAATGTTATATTTTTGGTACAATATAAAATTCTCAGCACAAAGTATTTCAAAAAGTTTCTTTTTCTTATTTCTTGATCGATCCTTGCAATAAATATTGAGTGGTCACCAGTTAGATATTAGGTATTCAGGAATCGATATCTGAATAATGTATATTATTTTCGATGTATATTGCCAGTAATTATGATGTCTCTTGTTGGGCTCTTTTGTAACTTGTACAGCGAAATATTGTAAACTTTTCACAAACGCACCTGAATAGGTTATGCGACTAATAAACATAATGATGTATTAAAACAAACAAGAAAACAGATAACTTGTTGAAATACCCAGATGGCAGGAACAGGTAGCCCAAA